ATGTCGTTATTGTTTGCTTGTTTGAAAAATAATGAATTTAATGAAGCCTCGTGCCCTCAAGAAATAAAAACTTTTCAAAAATGTTATGCAGAAAGCAGAAAAAGGAAAATAATAAAAAAGGAAAAAGAAACCAAAGGAATTCTGACACCTGGTGACACTAATCTAAGCCACAAGCAACTTAATATTCTTTTAAGAACTATGCCCAATATAAAATAATAGTTAGTCCCCACATTTAAACGGAATATTAATTGTAATAATGGTATATAAATAAACACTTTTTGAAAATGTATCTACTTTTTTCTCGTCTTCTAAAATAAATCTTGCAAAAAATCTGCTTTAATGACTTTACAATTCTTTATTTAATTTAGCTTATCATATTATCAATATTTTTAATTATTAATACATGTGTAAAATTTTTCATGGCAATAAGATAAGTGGGCTTGAGTACAATATTCAGCACTGCTTTAGCATTTTTCTGTATCTGCTAATTTACATTTGCATCTACATATAAATAAAAATAATAATAACTGTATAAAATAAAGAACAGCAACTGCTTCTTGAGTTTAATAATGTGGAGTGGAAGCTTTTGGGCATTTGTCCAAAAAGTATGCATAAAATCAATAAGGAGATAAATAAAACTATTATGCAAGGTAAGTGGCAGGATTTAATTCTATAAATAAATATTCCAATATGATGATGTAAACGAATGCATCCATTATTAAATGTTTTAATGAAATAATGCTATTTAATATGAATGGGCAGGAGGAAGATAACACTTTTGAAAATACAATTTTATCTTTTTATATCCACAATGACTGGCGAGGTATTTTAAGCATCGACATTAATTATTATAATATAACAAATGCTAGAAGGCTAATGTGGGCCTGGCCTTCTGAAGAAGAGTTACATTTCATTGGCAAATTAATACTAGAGAAAAAATTAAATGGTGTTGTGTCAGTGGGATGCGGATGCGGTCTCTTCGAATGGTTACTAGGACAGTGTACCAGTAAGTAAAAGTAATCATTAATACCCAACTTTTATGAGAGATTCTTTTTTATGTAATATAAAAAGTTAGCATAATACAATAATTTTTAATTTCTAGGTTTAAACGTACGAGGTATCGAAATAAATGATTCGTGGTGGAACAGTAAGTACAGTGGAACCAAATTTATCCCTTTACTTTTTCCTAAATTACTACCGCAAACAAAACTCTTCAATAATGACGAAGCACTGCTGTTTTGCTATTTCAACGACGAAATAGCCTTTCAAAAATATGTAGCAGCCTACGAGGGTAATTTGATTTTCATTGTGGGTCCCAATAAAGGAACGAATATTTACGCGAACCCAGATCCGATAAATCCGAAATTTAGCTCGCAGGACAGTTGGAAAATGATCGACATAAAACAATTTAAAAACAGTATCAATGTTGTGTCTGCTTTTGAAAGATCAACAAAATAAAAAAAAAAGGGTTACTTAACATATTTCTTTTTTCTTTACTGTTTAATTCAATTTTTCTAGAGACACAAAAGGACAGTTTTTTGGTGCATGGTAGAGACGTGCGTTAGGAACATGTCTTTATTAACGGTGCGAAATTGGCAATCAGAACATGAAAACAACAAATTTTTTTCTAGGCCTGGATGTTTTGTTTTCAGATGCACTTTGTATGTACTGCTCTGTATACAGGCATAATCACAGTAGGCGCATTTGTATGGTTTTTGTCCAGTGTGTCTTAGTTTGTGCCTGCGCAAAGAGTTATGATCTGCTGTTGTGTAGCTACACTGCTCGCAAGAAAACGGTTTTTCCCCTGTAAATATCCAAATTGTGTAAATTTTTATTCATCATCTATATATTGCAAGCAGTTTTAAATAGATATCTAAAATGTAATGTCAATAGTCATGTAGATATAGACAATATCTATATATGATGTATTTTAATATGCAAATAATGATTATGTAATGACATAGTTTGAAATAAAAATATGTAATTGTTTTTTTTTGTCAAATTTTGTTGATGACAAATAGTTTTTAAATTATTTAAAAACCATTCTAGTCTAAACAAATTTTAAAATAGAATGCAACCAATCATCAATTGGAGCACTCTTTTTATTCAAAAGTAAAAATCAATTAGTTATAAAAAAAATCAAAATAAATTAGTTAACAGATTAATTTCTTCAAAGGGAATAAAAATAATTGCAGCTTACCTGTATGCTGTCGCATATGCATCCTAAGGGAACTTTTTGATGCCCCTTTGTAACCACAGTAGCTGCATAGAAATGGCTTCAGTTTCTTATGGACACTGTCCATATGGATCCGTAACTGTCTTCTATCAGAGAACATTTTGTTGCATTCTACACATAGCTGTATAGTTTTGTTTAAAAAATCTTTATGTTTCACTTTATGGTTTCTCAATTGTTTGGAATTCTTGAATCCTTTATTGCACACATCACAAATGAATGGTTTTGCTTCACTGTGGATGGGTCTATGAATATTATTTAACTTTCCCAAACTAAATGTTTTATAATCACATTTGTCACAAGCATATAATTCCATATCAATTTTATGGATTCTCCACAAATGTCCAGTTAAAGGTTTCCACCATGAGAAAATCTGTTCACACTCCAAACATTTAAAACCATTTTCTATATGGCATTTCACATGATAAAACAATTTTGTGGCATCATGTAAATATACTTTACATGTGGGTACTTCACATTTATGAATTATGCTTTGTTTATCTTGAGATAATAAACCCTGCATTTTTACATCTTTACTTACTGTTATTCTTTCTTTATCTGAACAATCTGTTTTAAAATTTAATGGTTCTGTGTCATTGTATGATAAATGAGGACTTAATATCATAAGCTCTTCATTTTCTACTGGTGTTAGGGTCTTTTCAATATTATCAACATAAGGTACAAATGCATCTGATTTGGAATAGACTGTATTACCTACAGTATAAAAGTTTCTTTCAGATATTTTCACTTGATCTCTTGAAGTGTTTGTAAACCCTGTAGTACTATCCATTTTCTTACTGTAATCAGCATTACTTTTCTTTGAATAATATAGTACAGCCTGTAAGATTTTCTTCACATCGCTATTTCCAACTTGATGATCATATATTAAATGCGACCGAAGAGACATTTTATGAAAAAAGGTGTTTGCACATGCAGGACACTTGAAGATTACCTGTTTAAATACGGCATTAGTTTTATGAATGTTCTCTAAATGCTCTCTTATTTTAGTAGTTTTCGTACACAAAAAGGGACATAGATTACAAACAAAATAAAGCATGTCTTCATAGTTTTCATCGTTTGTTAATTTTTTGGATTTCGATATCTCTTCTTTAACAGAACAAACACTATTCTCTTTTGTTAATACACTAATGAGATTTTCTACAGCCGGAATATTTTTATACACATCATTTTCTTTACATTTTTCCAATGTTTCCATATTTAAATCAAGCATTTTCTTATCGTTATTTGCATGTTCATTACAATTAATTTTGGATAAGATTGAAGTAACATTAGATGTATCAATTTCTTGAAGACATTCCTAAAAAAAATTGAATAATAAATGTATAACTACGTAAACTATAAAAAATACGACCTATATAACTACATTCCTTTCATTTTTGATTTAATTCAAATAATTACCTCGTGAATCAACGACAAATCTACATTCGTACTCCAAAGTTTACACCCCATATGCTCTGTTTTCATCTTGTGTAGTCTACAATTACTCTTTTATATTACTTTTAGATGTATTTTAAACTGGCACTCAAAGTAATATCTTTTAAGTAGTTAAATAGCAGTACTTATTGTTACTATAAATACCACTTTCCGCGTATGATAACTTGGTTGTACAAGCAAGTTGTATATGATAAAAGCACTTGCTATTGCTTGCTATGCTATTGGCTATTTGTAACGCCACGGAATAATCATTATTTTTATCATACGACGAAGATTTATGCAACCCATATTACGTTGCTATTACTAACACCCTCTATCATGTAGTGTCGCCACTTTTTAATAGATTAGAAGCTTATGTATGAATAGAAGCATAGACTTTGAAATGATACCCTAAAATAAACTTTAAGTGTAAAATAGAAAGTACACGTTTAAGTTACCTTCGAAAACTTACCTACCTTGTACAATATTGATCATAAGAAGTAACAGAACAATACCTTCGCTTCGTAATAAAAATTCGCCTAAACTATTGTAATAACTAATTACAAAAGTAGACTGTAAGCGCGATCTGCTGACAATTTTACAAAATGACAATTTTCATATTATCGATTACTATTAACATGTTAGCTTCTGAAGCCTCTCAAAATGACTCCTTTTGGCTATATCCATCAGGGGTCATACTAGTCGAAATTCCCATAACCTGACAGAGAGCCCATTGTTAATTTAATCTGATTAACTGTAATACAATTGTTTATTATAAGTTTTTAATGTCATAATATAATTTTTACTATTTATAATAAGGTCTAAACAAGTATTCTAACATTGTGTACATATGTATGGATAAAATCTGCCCTGATGTCTGAAAGAGAAAGAATCAAATTTATGCACAATTATTGGTTGGTAAGATGAAAATACTTTTTTTCTTATTTTTTTATTTTCCTAAATTACAGCAAGATAGCAGAAGACCAACAAAATAGTGGAGTTTCTGATAATTTAGCTAGGTAATTTATAAATTTTCATTTCAACTATAAGCAACTGATAAATAACTTTCAGAAATAGTGATGATTTATCAGAAGAACAAATAAAATATTTAGTTGAAAATTGTTCAGAACCACTAGTTATCCTGAATCAATTAAAATGGAAAATATTAAAGTGGGATCTGGGGGATTGGTGCTCTATTTTGGAGAATGAAGATTTGCCATGCAGGTGTGGTAAAAATGTATATTCGAAGGTAGATTTTAATAGTTAACAGTAATGCAATGAATGTTAAAATGGTATTTTTAGTGCCCTCAGTGGGAAACAATAACTTCAAAGAAAGTCCTAAAAATAAGTAATTTTGTAGAATTAAGGAATTCTAAGGATCCCAAGGAATGGATCTACTTTGATTACAAATATCTTAAAGACTGGATTATAAATAAGGAGAAAATAAAGAAGGTATAAAATTATACAAATTCCAAATTTGATGAAAACATTACTTTTCAGGATATTACATGGAAAAGTTTTGGATATCCAGATTTAGGATGGCAGGAAAGTACAATTTGGATTGGTACTGAAGGAGCTCATACACCTTGTCATGTTGACACATATGGATGTAATCTTGTAGCTCAAGTTTTAGGCAGGTATTTCAGTTTATTGTTTTAATTTATATATGTTTTATAAGTGCATTTTGTTATTTTTCAAACCATAATAAGAATATTTTACTTAAAAAGAAAAGAAGGGATATGTGCAAAAATGTTAATATTTCAGAAAGTTATGGTGTTTGTTTCCTCCAAATGAAAACTTACTTCCTACAAGAGTGCCATATGAAGAGTCCACAATATTTTCTGAAATGAATTTTTTCTCACCACAGCCCAACAAATTTAAAGGTAAAATAATAATTTATAAAAGTTGTACTTTTTCAAGTCACTTTTCAATTAAGGTATTGAAAGCTGCCGTAAAGTAATACTGAATCCTGGAGATGTCCTTTTTGTGCCGCACGGATGGTGGCATTATGTTGAAAATCTGGAATTTGCCATTAGTATAAATACCTGGCTCCCAACAGTAAACTGAAATTTATTTATTTACTTATTTATTCCAGTGGGGAGAACCCCCTTCAATATGTAAATTAGAAAAAAATATTTATATAAGTTTAAGTTTTCAAATAAGTCACTACATTTATACAAAACAATAAATATGTATCATTTAATTATAACCAAAATTTATTCTTGAGACATTTTCCGGGCTGAGTTGCCGTGGTCCAGGGTCTAATTTGGTTTGAAGTTCCAAACGTTTCATCTTCTACTGCTGATGACATCTTCAGTGGCGAGATCGAAGTTTTCTTTTAGAAAGTTCAGCACTCGTTGCTAAGATGTCTGCAACAGAAACCGAAACGTCTGGTACCTTAAACCAAATTAGACCACGGCAACTCAGTCCGGAAAAAGACCTAAGAAACCCTTCATTATAAAATTAAAATTTATTCATATGTAAACAAAATTGTAGATTATTTGACTGAATAATATAAGCTACCAAATAATTCAAACCTTTCAGAATTATCATTGTACATGTACACTGTACACATTTAGGTTTCTATTTTATATAGGACAAATTTAAATAATATATTAAATATCGCCTTCAGTTAATACTTTTTCAAGGATCGAGATGAAGAAAAAAGATTGGAGGAGTCTCTTGTAAAAATGATAATGTTGCAGTTTGAAAGAGAATTATCTGGTGACGAAAAAAAGTTTATTATTATAGGGGATAATACAAGAAATGTATGTATTTTTTCAGCATTTAATTTTACAGAAAACCTTCCTGTATTTATTTTTATTACTTGCAGTTATCAGGTCATCAAAACTTTAAATATAACTTGAACGTTACCCATTTTTGTCTTAAATCATATCAAAATTTTCTGGATACCAATAAAACAACACAAATGGAAATTCGTAATGACGCAACTATGTGCTCTATTGAAGAAATTTTACGAAAATTTAGAAATACACTTAAAGCAGTTCCTATACTTAGCCAAGATGAATTTTTGGAGTTTTTAGAAAAACAGCGAAATCGCTTTTTTGGTAATGAAAGTAATCAAAAGACAAATGTTTCAGAAAATGGTAATAACAGTGATAATGATGAAAGTGATAAAGAAATGGTATCAAAAGTTCTTACTGCTATCTTAAAGCCTAATGTTATTAACCTTATTAAACAAAACCTTCTAAAGTAGCTTTTTTGTGAATTTGTAAACATGGATAATTACACTTTCTGAAAGTCATGTATTCCATAAAATTAAACATTTACATCTGCTTTTTGTTATTTGGATTTTTCTGCCTTTGTATAAAATATATGTGTGTGTGTGTGCTGTCATAATAAATATGTATTCAGTTAAGACAAAAATATTCACCATATGCAGAAAGTACACATTTTTTATCCCCATTTTTTCCTTTTATGTCGCGCGAGCGAATATGCATAATTTGATGAACGTGTGAAATATATTTTTTTAATTATGTTAATCTGAAAACATCACCTACTTCTCCGAAAATTATATTAAACTAACCGAACTCAGAATATTTTGAACAATTTATAACTTCACTTAAAAGCTTTAAATTGCATTTGTTGGACTTTTCTTCACTATGCATATGAAAAGATGGCTGGAGGTATTTGTACGAATTTTTCTATACACGTAGTTTTTAAGAGATGATGCCGCCCCAACCCCCATAGTAGAATATTCCGATATTGGGTTCTCAGCCCGCCAGTAGTGTATGATTATATTCAAATATTCTCTAGGCAAAATAAGTAAAACTTAAAAAGAATTCTTTAGCTTTCAATAAAAAGAAAACTTTTCATTTAAATATTACAAAGTTTACCTTTTTCTTTTACAGTTCTAGATAATTGGACGTGCATTTAGATGATTTTAAAATTATAATTTTTAAAACAACTTTTCAACAGTGTTTAAGTTTATAAAAACAATTACAGACAAACACTTAAATAGACATAACTACTTCCATCTCCAGAATAATTTAATTTTAATTAAAATTAATAAAACGGTTAATAAATTTGAATGAAATTTACAGTCCAATAACATAAAGCAATAGCCCGTTTTTTGTTAACATTAAACAACAACACAGCTACATTCGTTGAATTACAATCCTTAATTTATGTTCGATATAAAAGGTATTCTTTTAGCATTTTTGGAAGAGGAAGAGAAGATACAGCCTTTTTTGTAATATGCTGTAGTATTGCATCACGACAAGCAGACTGAAGAGTAGGAACTGAAAGTAAATACAAAGAGAAAAGTAATACAAAATTATAATTTACATTGGTAACATACTTATGAATACATAATAAAATAATATTGTAAATAATTATATATTATATAAAGATGCATTTTATACCTCCATACAGTTGAATAATTCGAACTTTCTTTGTTGTACCATAAACATCTACAACAACATGTAACGGAGCATCTTTATATGGGATATCTTTAACACAAGCACCTTGATCTTGACCGTTAATTATGTAATGCATGTTTGCTTTTTTATCATCAATTGGATAGTACATTATACCTATTCTACTGCCTATATCTGTTGGTAAAATAACTTCTGTATGTTTGGTAGGCTTTAATACAGTTATAGGGAATGCACCTCGACATGTCTTAACTTCTCCATTTTTATCACATATTTTTTGAAGACATGACTCCCCGTTTCCTCCTTGTGCATCATAATTAATTATATTATTGTGTGCTTTTGTAATGCCATATATCCAAGATCTTCCTATATTAGCCAGGTCAGGAAGTGCATATTGTGGTATTGCACCTGTTCTAAATATTGTATGTGGGTCAAGTTGAGTAAGGCCTAGCCTCATGTGCCCGCTCCATCCACGTTCGTTCTGTTCTATTTCTAACAAAAATATTTCTCCTGGTAAAAGTGGCTCTTCACTAAATGTTACAGCATTTGCAAAGCTAGACTTTCGAAACGCCACAGTATTATCCTCGGATAGTTGTATATTCTCCCCGTGGTATGAATGAAATCGTGCTTTAGAGCCTTTTGAGAAATCCATTATTAAAGTAAACACATTTGTTTTATTTCCATATACAGGTTATGCAGGCAATTGCCTTAGATGTGATAATTGTGTGCCACTACATGTTAATAGTTTTTTTTCACTTTATATTTAAATTAAATACAAAGAGCAAATGTAACACACTTTTCTTTATCATTTATCAGTAACAATTAACAAATGTAAATCAGCAAATCAATTAATAATATTTCAGGTTATGATTAAACTCTTCTTCGTATGTGCAGTTTGTCCTTGAACTTCATTCCATTCATTATACATTTATTTTCTGTATGTAACTTTTTCTTGTTCGAAATGGCTTAAAACGACCTAATCATGAAAAACTTACATAAAATAATCGGGGGAGGGCAGAAGATGTTATGAGCAGTTTTTATTGAAAATAAACATTTTTAGACCCTACATTAGACACTTCACAGTTAACGGTTCATTTTGGCGGTTTCCGTTAACGACTAAACTCCGTAGTACTGCTTTTAGTTGGAAAAGGTCTATTTTTAAGAAACACATGGAAAAAACAAAGGGAAGGTGTTTTAAGCAATTTTCTTTCCAAATAAATATTTTACACGTCTATGGGAATTTCACAGTTACTTACCATAGATAACAGTTTCTACTCAGCCGTTTCTGACCTCGCCTCTACAGTTTAAGTTGCATTCGCTTAAAAACTGATATCTGCTCAACAGCTGTAGTTCCCGTTCGAGGAAGGTATATGTATAATGTATGTATATATAATAGGAGAGAGAAGAGCTGTTGCTTATCTTAATCTAACCTACCCCACTTAATGTAACACAACGCAAACTAACTGAACTGAAGTTAGGCTAAGGTATGCAACGGTGCCTCCTTCCCTTATTTTATATACATACATTATACCTCTACCTTCTTCAAATAAGAACAATTTGTATATATTTGTATTGTAAAAACGGTTGTTAAGTAGATCTCACTTTTTAAGCGAATGCAACTTAAACTGTAGAGGAGAAGTCGGAAACAGCTGAGTAGTAACTGTTATCTATGGTAAGTAACTGTGAAATTCTCATAGGTTATATTAATATGTACCTGTAAAATAATTTATTATAAGGAAAATCGTTTAAAATACCTTCCCTCTGTTTTTTTTCTGCGTTTTTCATAAATGTATTAATTTAAGCTATTCCTAAAAGAAAAAAGTTGTTTGCGAAAAAGGCGACTGCTTTAATTTAAGGGCAAATATAAATATGATTTGTCAACTGTGAAGTGTAACATAAAAATGTTTATTTTAAATAAAAACTGCTCAAAACACCTTCCTCCTGATTATTTCATGTAAGTTTTTCATATTCAGGTCATTTTACGCCATTTCCAACAAGAAAGTTACATTTTTGAAAAAACCGTTATACACAGAAGTTTTACCTTTTCTACTAGATGGTATTGTATAAAAAAAATTATTTTATTACTTCTATTATATTCTAAACGAAGTGGTATTTACGCCAACAACTATGAAATAAGAGGTGTTTAAGAGTGATATCGAGGAAAAAATTATTTATTCAGTAAAATAGCAACATGTGACAAATTTTAAAAACAAATAACGATAAGTAAACATGGTGATATCTATTAAGCACTTTTAATATCAAATTGTTTCTTTTTTTTCTTGAGCAATTGTGTCGTTTCCATTCTGTTAACATGTGAAAAATCATACAATCTATTATTTTTAAAGTCCTTAGCAGCCAGTACAGTACATTCATTGAACTTATTTTTCTTTTTAAGTTTTAATTTTCTAGTTTGTGATGGCCTAGGAGGAGTATCAAAATCATCAATGATCCATAGCTTGGGATTACTTTTACTGGGATAAATATTTATAAGAGTGTTTTTAGATTCGTCCATTTTGTTCTTTTTCATTATTTTGCCTTTCTCCTGTATAGAAGTTTTTTCTTTTGGGGTAATGAGTACATTTGATAAGATTTTAACTTTATCTTTTTCCTCAATATCGCCTGTTTTGGTATTTTGTGTCGAAATTTTTTGTTTTTTAGTCTTTTTCGATAAATCGGCTAACATTTCAACTTCATCGATGTCACTCTTTAAACCAAAGAATGATTTACGTTTTTTTTCGTGCATTTCAGTATTAACATTTTCTACATGTACTCTTTCTTTTATCTTCTTCTTTTTGTCTTTCTTTTTTATAATTGTAGCGTCTTCATTTATCAATTCGGACTGTATTTTATAATTTTCCTGGTTACTTGCTTCATTCTCGTTACCCTTTTTATTTTTTTTACGGATTTCAGATTCTTCCTCAAAACTCATTTTATTGTTAACATTTTCTTCTGGACACTCTACTTTTTTCTTCTTGGGTAGATTTAAAATTACTAAATTATCATTAAATATTTTTTCAGTGGATTTTATATCTTCACTCTCTTCGCAAAATTTCTTCTTAGACTTTTTTGATGATGAAAGCAGCGTTTCATCAACATTCTTGCTTCGTTTATTCTTATTGGTTCCCGCTATCTCTTCAATAATTTCGTCTACTTTACAAGGTTGAAAAGCATGAACTGAAAGTTCCAACTCCTTTGACTTTGTGTTAGAAGTGAAGGTATTTGAATTGTTTCTTGAATTCTTTCGATACTTTTTACGTTTGTTAGAACAGTTGACGGTTTGCAAACTAGTGCTTAATAAGTTCTCATCTTTGTTAGAATCAGAGTCGCTTTCATAATTCAATGATAGATTCAGATAAATCTTTCGACTTCTGCTATTTACATTAGACGAAAACAAATCGACCACTTGTTCAACACGTTCACGAATTTCGTCAAAAGACAAATTTTCGCTTATCGATAACGAAGAACGCTTTTTTGTCTTTTTCGGTGATGTTTTGATTTCGTCAGCTTGTTGTAAAGTTGTAAAAATTTCTGGTTTGTTTGTATCTGCTGGCGGAAGCTCGGTCAATTTATATAATGCTGAACTGTCTTCAACCATTTGTTCATCATCAATTATAGTTATTTCAGTTGTTTGTTGAGGTAAACCTTGTTCTTTTGAATCTGACAAACTATGTGAATTTGTCGCGCCTACTTTGGCGTTTTCTGGTAATGATTCATCGCTTTCATCGACCTGAATTATTCGACACCACTTCCCTTTAGCCTTTTGTAATTTTTTACTCTTAATTTCTTCTTCTGTTGCATCGATTTTACTATTTCTCTGATTCTTGATTTTATTTTCGTCCAAATCATATTCCTCACCAGAAAGTAATTCGCTTGAAACATCGTCATCGATAAAAGAATCGTCAAACGAATCGTCGTCAGTCTCCTTTTCATCAGCGCTAGAATAACCAATGGGTTCTCCTTCATCAACTATTTCGTTGCTATTATTTTCACTTTCATCTTCACCTTTAGCCTCTTCTGCGATATCATCCAAGTAATCAGTAACAGACGCTACATCTATATCACTATCACTTTTCTCTTGGTTATCATTAAATTTCTTGTTGATTAGATCACTCACTTTATTTTCTAACTGAATGTCAATGTTAAGTTGAGGAACAGTAATATGCGGGTGGGGTATTTTTGTCGTTGTTTCGTATTTAAATGTACTGACATCATGGCTTTTCTCTTCTTTATCATCGTTTCCGTTTAAAATATTTGAATTTTCTTTTTCTTTATTTACGTTTATATACTCCTCATTCGTTAACTCCCTCAAGTCTTCGTTTTTATTATCTTTAAAGTCATAATTTCTATCATCATTTGCTGCATAAACTTTATCTGTTTTGTTCAGTTTTTCATTGACCAGTACGGGTTTTATCTGTGTGATACTACGGTTCCTTTCTCTTTCGTTTTCTATTTCTATTTCAGAAATTCGTCCGTTTGAATATTTTGTTGGTGTTTCTTCATTCTGATGAATGATGATCTTCAAATTATCTTGGCTAAGATTTTCTCCTTTAAGCGGCACATTGTTTGTAGCTTCATATTCACATATTAATTTATTTTGACTAAACTCTCTTTCCTTTTGACCATCTAAATCACCTGCACTTTCTGCAAGACCCGCATCTTCTTTTATTGTGTTATCTATATTTTGCATAAATTTTTTATTTTTTGCAAGGGCTGTGAGGTAAACATTTTCGTTTATTTGCTTTGGTTCTTTAGAAGGCGATTTTATTAATAACTGTGAGGCATTGTCATCTAAATCTTCCAAAAGTGTATATTCATCAATATCCATAGGCTCACAAAGAGAATCTTTTATTGTTAAAGTACCATTTTTGTTTTCAATTGATGATTTTTCATGCACTGGTGATTGTTCAGGCGTTTTGGTTTTATTCATTTTACTGGGAGTACTTTTGGGAGTTTCTCCTTTCAATGAGGAATTATTATCATGGATAACTCTGTTCTTCATAGGTGAAACATTAGATAACACTAATTCACAAGTAGAATCTTTACCATTTGAAAGAGTAGTTTCTAATTTTTTTAAAGACTCGATACAATCATTGTTTTCAACTGTTTTAATTACAACAGATTTAAATGAATTTTCTGCAATTTTATTTTCAATCAAATCATCTTTAGCATAATTTTCTGATTTTTCAGTAGCGCATGTATCAAGTATATCATTTTCTTTATTTTCACTATTTTGTAGTTTATTTTCTTCAAAAATAATATCATTTCCATCTTCAGTATTAACATTTGTATCCTTGTTTAGTAGCCCTTGTATTTCAAATTGTTTGTCATTTAAATTTAAATTCTGTAAGCAAGACTGTTTTATAATGGGTTTTGAAATAACAACTGCTTCATCCAAATTTCTGGATGTACTTTCAACTTCCTTATCACAATCATCTCTTTCTTCATTTTCTTTTTCATTTTTATGCTGTACAACTTCGTTTATTGTTTCCATCTCTTTAATAGCTTCCAGTAGTTTTAGTTTTTCGGTCACAGAATAGTGTTTGGATCTACATTTAGTGGTTGGTTCTAAAGTTTCTTCTGATTTTTGTGGGGATCTACTCATAGATCTAGTTGATCTCCTAGTAAGTGGAGTTGAAGTTCGCTTCACATGATTTGCTGTTTTCTCTTCATTTGCACTTGATGTCGAATCTGGAAATAATTAATTAAATTTGGTTCATATGCACATATCTTCTTTTATTAATTACTTTTTAAAAGGGAGTAACATTAAAAATTAAAACTGAAAACAAACGTGTTTAAGACATCAGGCATTTTTTTTATCTAATGTATATAATAATGAATAAGCAGTTAAATCATATGCAGAAAAAGATGATTTTGTCTTTATTTTGTTAACAATGTACCTTTTCGTTTTCTGGTTGATGGAGTTTTATTTTCATTATTTGTAAAAACAGGGGTTGACCTTCCCGATTCCGAATTCTCGCCTGGCTCTTGAGACAAAGACAAACGTCGAGACTTTCTGGTTTCACTTGTCATGGTGGTCGTAGTTTTAGTGTCAGCTGAAGCTCTTCTCGTAACAACAGGAGCTGATGATTTTTGATTTTGTGCAATTCTACTTGATCTTCTGACAGGGGAAGCGATATCAACATTCTGCAGTAATTCTAATGTTGGAGTTTTTCGAGACATTTTGCTCTGATGATTCTACGGAAAAACTTTAATTTTGATTTTTATTTGATTACTCTCTCTTTACAAGAAGTAGCTTACCTAGTGGGTATAAATTATAATAAAAAGGCGTTTTTCACTTTTTAAAAGCCGTTTCTTTTACAGGCCGCACGTGTTGGTGAATTTCAAATACGACAATTCATCTATGAATTCTTCTGCAACCAATCCCAATCAGTTGTAGGGTATGTCAAAAACGTCAAAATCATGTCAGAATTGTCAAAATATAACGATGTTGCCAAATTAATTTTATTAATAGTTAGAAAGATACCGGTTGGCAACACTAGCGGTAAATTTAAAATGGTTTTTAAAATATGAAATCTTCTATTTTTAAAAATATCCAATAATAATAAGGTTTTCCTTTAATACAATTTCATTTTAAAGTAGTTTACAAACATCGTTTATTATTGTACGTTTTTTTATATTGTCAAAAGAAACGGTACAGTGTAAAAACAACAAGTCTAATTAACAATTATTCACAAAATATACCATCACATTTTGATATTTCATTTGTATGACTTTTACGATCAGTATACTTTATAATACAAAATTAGACTTTCAATTATAAAAGTACTGTTAATTATGAGAAACCCATAAAATACAAATCAAATCCTGTAAGTACTTGTTGAACTATTATCGCTGCAAATTTTTCTTGGTAAAGAAAAAAAGGGAATTTTTTAAATACGAAATACGAAAAATGTGACACATTTCTTCAGTTAAATTATTTTACGTGCAAGTACAAATTTCGCTTATGCGTTTTAATCATGATTTAACTTTATTTCCCAGTAAAGGTACCTCGCCCATGAAAGTTTCCTTATCTCTGTTTATCTATAAGTATTTACCCAGATAAAATAATTATTATATTGTTGGGACATTGTAGTGTTCCTCGTTTCTTATTTTTTTTTACGTTGAACTCATTAAAATCGACCAGTTTTAAAATGAATAGTAAAAAAACAGTTTCTATAAGTTTAGTCTTTTTGATCATAGTTTTTGTAAAGTCACAAGTAAGTTTTTAACTTTATTTTTTTATGATGTATTATATTTTACAGAAAAAGCATTTTGTGATCTTTTAAATATGAATTTTTTCACTCAATTGTTTTTAGTCTACATATAAAGCAGCTGTTGTAGAATTCTCACCACGAATTTCCGCATATAATCCCCAAGATTTACTTTTAGAAAACGCAGCATTTTATGTTGATTACATTGAAAACGCAGCTGAATTGGTAGGTTCATAAACAAAAGCGTAGGTACCCATACGTACTTACAGAATTGTTCACAATAAATAATAAATAGGTGTAAATTTACTAATGTATGAAGATAATAGGTATGTCTGTATTTGAAAATTAAATTTTATAATAAAGATAAGAGCATTAAAGAAGAAGAACATCACCAACCAAATACATATTATACTATTAGGCGCAGACGTTTATTAATCATTATATGCAAAACATACATAGAATTATTAGGAACTGATAAGATACCTTTATATTTAACAAACAATTACATCATTATTTACGAAAAACTTTAGGGCGTCGAAATTATAGTTTTTCCTGAAGATGGTCTAACAGGCTTAAATATATGGACAGCAGATGTAACATTTGAATCAATTGCAAAATACAGCACATTCGTACCTGAAATTAAAGACGAAATCGCACCTTGCGATTATAGCAGTGTAAATTATTACGCTAAGGTAAAGTTTTAGAGTAAAATAATTTTTGCAATCATTTTACAACTTTTTTTAGGCGCTAATTGATCTCTCCTGCTCCGCTAGGACCAACGGTATTTATACTGTAATAAACGTGTTAGAAAAGTCATTCTCTTCCGATAATTCAACGTTTTTATATAACACTGATGTTGTCTTTGATAGAAATGGAGTTGTAATTGCCAAGTAAGTAAGAAAAGGTACCTACTTCTTTTAAATTACCTCGAGGAAGTGGCCGCGTGCGATGGACCAGAATTCGTCCGTACCGAATTGGAGTAATTACCATATTTGCGGAAGTGATTTTTAAATCGCTTTTACGTCTATGTAATTTTTACCGTTTTAGCGTCTACTTTTTGGCACAGGAATTATTAACAAACACATTTAGCATTACGCAGTTGAAGCAATAAGAAATATTAATTTAAAATATTAGATGATAATGTTGAAGTTGTTCGTTTGTATTTTTAGATATCGTAAGGTTAACTTATTTAATGAGGCTTTTGTTACTCCTGGAAATACAACTGTGACTTTCCAAACAGATTTCGGTGTTACGTTTGCTATTTTCACTTGTTTTGATATACTCTTTAAAAACCCATCCGTAGATGTTCTTACTGATACCATCTCAGATGTAATATATCCGGTTGCTTGGTTCTCCGAAGTACCATTCTTGCAGGGTAAGTGGTATATGAACTTTTTTTTTTAATTAGCTAGTCTTTTTTCTAGAGATTAGTTTAATTTTTTATACGGCATATGGGTGCTGTCAGCACAGGGCAAAGTAGCATTACGTAAATGAAAGTTACTATCAGTAATTTCTTATGCTGAAGTGTACGGTGTGTTGCATACCTATTTACAAACAATTCTTTTAAATTTAATTTTTCAAACAATTTTTAACACAAAGAAAATGATTAAACAAAAAAGTGAATTTCGAACACTCGAAGCAACGGTGCTAACAGTTTCGAGCTCACAGTGACTGATAGGGAGGAAGAACTAGTTATACTATAAACAATTTTGAAAAGTGTGAAAATATAGTTGCTTAATTAAAAAAAATCGAATGAAATAAATGTCACATTCTGTACAACATAAATTGAGATTCATTGTCAATTTTTAACACTCTAAATAGTAAAGATAAAATTAATATTTTCAGCTCTTAGTATACAAGCGGGATATGCAAAAGCAAACGGAGTAAATCTGTTAGCTTCCGGCCTTTCGAATGCAACAAACGGAAATGGTGGTAGCGGTATTTACCTAGCAAACGGAACTATCACTGAAACTTACATATCGGCAGTTTCTGCTTCTAAAATGATTATACAGGATGTACCGATTTTGCCCAAAAGACAATCTTCCTGTCATGAGGTATTCTACTTATTTGTAATGCATATTATAGTAATTAGTTCTTTTTTCAATTTAGTGAGAGGCATATTTTCTTTTTTTTTATATATATAATGTTCTTATTTGCTGCATTTGTTATTTTAGAATATGTCTACTGTTTCCGGTATTGCTTCTCAACATGCAAGTTACTCAATCGGAGGTTTATCTTTATTTAAGTTAATGGTAGAAGATTTAAGCAATTATACCACTCACAGTTTGAATTTAACTCAAAATTATTCGTCAACTACGATTTGTAGCGAAGGTAGCTCTTTTTGCTGTACGTTTAATGTTACGATTAATTTAGATACAGCAAGTGCCACCAATGTAGTTTACAAGTAAGTTAATTAATACGCCTAAATTTTAATCTTTATTTTTGATGTGTAACATCTAACCACTCGGTATGTGCGTGTATGAGGCCATGAGAATAATTTCTTGAAAGCAACGGAAATGCGTTAGCGGAAGTTAAGGACGGAGGAGTGCGCATGATCATTGCTGCCTGCAGTTGGTGCTTGGTGAAGCAAAAAAAAAGGGAAAAGGAGAAATAAGGCACAACTTTCAACCTTTCAATCTGGTCTGGTGGTGAGAAGTTATTATTTTGCTCATTGCCGGTCTTGGATGTTACACATCATTAACAACTATTAGAATTTACATTTATTAATTTTATTTTTTATTTTTGCTCATTACTTAAACATTTCTTCAATATTAAGATTGGTGGCTTTTAATGGAAACAGAAAATTGGGTACATCGACCAGTGGAAATCAAATTTGTGGTGTTGTTGCCTGTCTAACTGATGACATTTTGTCGTGTGGACAAATACGAACTCTAGGGTCAATGATCGGAGTCAAATTTAATTCAATAATTATAACAGGGAATTTTGTAAATGCCCCTGCTGGACATACTTTACCATCCACGTTGACGTTTTCTTTGACTCCGATACAAAACTATCGTTACTGTAGGACAAGTGGTATTAATGAGGCTCAGGTTAATATGAATCTCACGAGTCCGCACGATTCCATTTTTGCATTTGGAATTTTTGGAAGGAGTTTTAAAAGAGATGGAGGCTCCGTTGGAAGAAGTATTGCTACATTTAATACTATATGTACAGTATCGGTCTTTTTCTTAACAGTTCTTACTGTTTTACAACAAAAAATTATCTCATAAGTTAAATTGTGCATAAAAACAGAAATTCCTATTTATTTTCATGCGCTCATCATTTAATATAACAATTGTATGTAAATTTATGAAAATTGCTTTTTTTTTTGNTTTCAGTATTAACATTTTCTACATGTACTCTTTCTTTTATCTTCTTCTTTTTGTCTTTCTTTTTTATAATTGTAGCGTCTTCATTTATCAATTCGGACTGTATTTTATAATTTTCCTGGTTACTTGCTTCATTCTCGTTACCCTTTTTATTTTTTTTACGGATTTCAGATTCTTCCTCAAAACTCATTTTATTGTTAACATTTTCTTCTGGACACTCTACTTTTTTCTTCTTGGGTAGATTTAAAATTACTAAATTATCATTAAATATTTTTTCAGTGGATTTTATATCTTCACTCTCTTCGCAAAATTTCTTCTTAGACTTTTTTGATGATGAAAGCAGCGTTTCATCAACATTCTTGCTTCGTTTATTCTTATTGGTTCCCGCTATCTCTTCAATAATTTCGTCTACTTTACAAGGTTGAAAAGCATGAACTGAAAGTTCCAACTCCTTTGACTTTGTGTTAGAAGTGAAGGTATTTGAATTGTTTCTTGAATTCTTTCGATACTTTTTACGTTTGTTAGAACAGTTGACGGTTTGCAAACTAGTGCTTAATAAGTTCTCATCTTTGTTAGAATCAGAGTCGCTTTCATAATTCAATGATAGATTCAGATAAATCTTTCGACTTCTGCTATTTACATTAGACGAAAACAAATCGACCACTTGTTCAACACGTTCACGAATTTCGTCAAAAGACAAATTTTCGCTTATCGATAACGAAGAACGCTTTTTTGTCTTTTTCGGTGATGTTTTGATTTCGTCAGCTTGTTGTAAAGTTGTAAAAATTTCTGGTTTGTTTGTATCTGCTGGCGGAAGCTCGGTCAATTTATATAATGCTGAACTGTCTTCAACCATTTGTTCATCATCAATTATAGTTATTTCAGTTGTTTGTTGAGGTAAACCTTGTTCTTTTGAATCTGACAAACTATGTGAATTTGTCGCGCCTACTTTGGCGTTTTCTGGTAATGATTCATCGCTTTCATCGACCTGAATTATTCGACACCACTTCCCTTTAGCCTTTTGTAATTTTTTACTCTTAATTTCTTCTTCTGTTGCATCGATTTTACTATTTCTCTGATTCTTGATTTTATTTTCGTCCAAATCATATTCCTCACCAGAAAGTAATTCGCTTGAAACATCGTCATCGATAAAAGAATCGTCAAACGAATCGTCGTCAGTCTCCTTTTCATCAGCGCTAGAATAACCAATGGGTTCTCCTTCATCAACTATTTCGTTGCTATTATTTTCACTTTCATCTTCACCTTTAGCCTCTTCTGCGATATCATCCAAGTAATCAGTAACAGACGCTACATCTATATCACTATCACTTTTCTCTTGGTTATCATTAAATTTCTTGTTGATTAGATCACTCACTTTATTTTCTAACTGAATGTCAATGTTAAGTTGAGGAACAGTAATATGCGGGTGGGGTATTTTTGTCGTTGTTTCGTATTTAAATGTACTGACATCATGGCTTTTCTCTTCTTTATCATCGTTTCCGTTTAAAATATTTGAATTTTCTTTTTCTTTATTTACGTTTATATACTCCTCATTCGTTAACTCCCTCAAGTCTTCGTTTTTATTATCTTTAAAGTCATAATTTCTATCATCATTTGCTGCATAAACTTTATCTGTTTTGTTCAGTTTTTCATTGACCAGTACGGGTTTTATCTGTGTGATACTACGGTTCCTTTCTCTTTCGTTTTCTATTTCTATTTCAGAAATTCGTCCGTTTGAATATTTTGTTGGTGTTTCTTCATTCTGATGAATGATGATCTTCAAATTATCTTGGCTAAGATTTTCTCCTTTAAGCGGCACATTGTTTGTAGCTTCATATTCACATATTAATTTATTTTGACTAAACTCTCTTTCCTTTTGACCATCTAAATCACCTGCACTTTCTGCAAGACCCGCATCTTCTTTTATTGTGTTATCTATATTTTGCATAAATTTTTTATTTTTTGCAAGGGCTGTGAGGTAAACATTTTCGTTTATTTGCTTTGGTTCTTTAGAAGGCGATTTTATTAATAACTGTGAGGCATTGTCATCTAAATCTTCCAAAAGTGTATATTCATCAATATCCATAGGCTCACAAAGAGAATCTTTTATTGTTAAAGTACCATTTTTGTTTTCAATTGATGATTTTTCATGCACTGGTGATTGTTCAGGCGTTTTGGTTTTATTCATTTTACTGGGAGTACTTTTGGGAGTTTCTCCTTTCAATGAGGAATTATTATCATGGATAACTCTGTTCTTCATAGGTGAAACATTAGATAACACTAATTCACAAGTAGAATCTTTACCATTTGAAAGAGTAGTTTCTAATTTTTTTAAAGACTCGATACAATCATTGTTTTCAACTGTTTTAATTACAACAGATTTAAATGAATTTTCTGCAATTTTATTTTCAATCAAATCATCTTTAGCATAATTTTCTGATTTTTCAGTAGCGCATGTATCAAGTATATCATTTTCTTTATTTTCACTATTTTGTAGTTTATTTTCTTCAAAAATAATATCATTTCCATCTTCAGTATTAACATTTGTATCCTTGTTTAGTAGCCCTTGTATTTCAAATTGTTTGTCATTTAAATTTAAATTCTGTAAGCAAGACTGTTTTATAATGGGTTTTGAAATAACAACTGCTTCATCCAAATTTCTGGATGTACTTTCAACTTCCTTATCACAATCATCTCTTTCTTCATTTTCTTTTTCATTTTTATGCTGTACAACTTCGTTTATTGTTTCCATCTCTTTAATAGCTTCCAGTAGTTTTAGTTTTTCGGTCACAGAATAGTGTTTGGATCTACATTTAGTGGTTGGTTCTAAAGTTTCTTCTGATTTTTGTGGGGATCTACTCATAGATCTAGTTGATCTCCTAGTAAGTGGAGTTGAAGTTCGCTTCACATGATTTGCTGTTTTCTCTTCATTTGCACTTGATGTCGAATCTGGAAATAATTAATTAAATTTGGTTCATATGCACATATCTTCTTTTATTAATTACTTTTTAAAAGGGAGTAACATTAAAAATTAAAACTGAAAACAAACGTGTTTAAGACATCAGGCATTTTTTTTATCTAATGTATATAATAATGAATAAGCAGTTAAATCATATGCAGAAAAAGATGATTTTGTCTTTATTTTGTTAACAATGTACCTTTTCGTTTTCTGGTTGATGGAGTTTTATTTTCATTATTTGTAAAAACAGGGGTTGACCTTCCCGATTCCGAATTCTCGCCTGGCTCTTGAGACAAAGACAAACGTCGAGACTTTCTGGTTTCACTTGTCATGGTGGTCGTAGTTTTAGTGTCAGCTGAAGCTCTTCTCGTAACAACAGGAGCTGATGATTTTTGATTTTGTGCAATTCTACTTGATCTTCTGACAGGGGAAGCGATATCAACATTCTGCAGTAATTCTAATGTTGGAGTTTTTCGAGACATTTTGCTCTGATGATTCTACGGAAAAACTTTAATTTTGATTTTTATTTGATTACTCTCTCTTTACAAGAAGTAGCTTACCTAGTGGGTATAAATTATAATAAAAAGGCGTTTTTCACTTTTTAAAAGCCGTTTCTTTTACAGGCCGCACGTGTTGGTGAATTTCAAATACGACAATTCATCTATGAATTCTTCTGCAACCAATCCCAATCAGTTGTAGGGTATGTCAAAAACGTCAAAATCATGTCAGAATTGTCAAAATATAACGATGTTGCCAAATTAATTTTATTAATAGTTAGAAAGATACCGGTTGGCAACACTAGCGGTAAATTTAAAATGGTTTTTAAAATATGAAATCTTCTATTTTTAAAAATATCCAATAATAATAAGGTTTTCCTTTAATACAATTTCATTTTAAAGTAGTTTACAAACATCGTTTATTATTGTACGTTTTTTTATATTGTCAAAAGAAACGGTACAGTGTAAAAACAACAAGTCTAATTAACAATTATTCACAAAATATACCATCACATTTTGATATTTCATTTGTATGACTTTTACGATCAGTATACTTTATAATACAAAATTAGACTTTCAATTATAAAAGTACTGTTAATTATGAGAAACCCATAAAATACAAATCAAATCCTGTAAGTACTTGTTGAACTATTATCGCTGCAAATTTTTCTTGGTAAAGAAAAAAAGGGAATTTTTTAAATACGAAATACGAAAAATGTGACACATTTCTTCAGTTAAATTATTTTACGTGCAAGTACAAATTTCGCTTATGCGTTTTAATCATGATTTAACTTTATTTCCCAGTAAAGGTACCTCGCCCATGAAAGTTTCCTTATCTCTGTTTATCTATAAGTATTTACCCAGATAAAATAATTATTATATTGTTGGGACATTGTAGTGTTCCTCGTTTCTTATTTTTTTTTACGTTGAACTCATTAAAATCGACCAGTTTTAAAATGAATAGTAAAAAAACAGTTTCTATAAGTTTAGTCTTTTTGATCATAGTTTTTGTAAAGTCACAAGTAAGTTTTTAACTTTATTTTTTTATGATGTATTATATTTTACAGAAAAAGCATTTTGTGATCTTTTAAATATGAATTTTTTCACTCAATTGTTTTTAGTCTACATATAAAGCAGCTGTTGTAGAATTCTCACCACGAATTTCCGCATATAATCCCCAAGATTTACTTTTAGAAAACGCAGCATTTTATGTTGATTACATTGAAAACGCAGCTGAATTGGTAGGTTCATAAACAAAAGCGTAGGTACCCATACGTACTTACAGAATTGTTCACAATAAATAATAAATAGGTGTAAATTTACTAATGTATGAAGATAATAGGTATGTCTGTATTTGAAAATTAAATTTTATAATAAAGATAAGAGCATTAAAGAAGAAGAACATCACCAACCAAATACATATTATACTATTAGGCGCAGACGTTTATTAATCATTATATGCAAAACATACATAGAATTATTAGGAACTGATAAGATACCTTTATATTTAACAAACAATTACATCATTATTTACGAAAAACTTTAGGGCGTCGAAATTATAGTTTTTCCTGAAGATGGTCTAACAGGCTTAAATATATGGACAGCAGATGTAACATTTGAATCAATTGCAAAATACAGCACATTCGTACCTGAAATTAAAGACGAAATCGCACCTTGCGATTATAGCAGTGTAAATTATTACGCTAAGGTAAAGTTTTAGAGTAAAATAATTTTTGCAATCATTTTACAACTTTTTTTAGGCGCTAATTGATCTCTCCTGCTCCGCTAGGACCAACGGTATTTATACTGTAATAAACGTGTTAGAAAAGTCATTCTCTTCCGATAATTCAACGTTTTTATATAACACTGATGTTGTCTTTGATAGAAATGGAGTTGTAATTGCCAAGTAAGTAAGAAAAGGTACCTACTTCTTTTAAATTACCTCGAGGAAGTGGCCGCGTGCGATGGACCAGAATTCGTCCGTACCGAATTGGAGTAATTACCATATTTGCGGAAGTGATTTTTAAATCGCTTTTACGTCTATGTAATTTTTACCGTTTTAGCGTCTACTTTTTGGCACAGGAATTATTAACAAACACATTTAGCATTACGCAGTTGAAGCAATAAGAAATATTAATTTAAAATATTAGATGATAATGTTGAAGTTGTTCGTTTGTATTTTTAGATATCGTAAGGTTAACTTATTTAATGAGGCTTTTGTTACTCCTGGAAATACAACTGTGACTTTCCAAACAGATTTCGGTGTTACGTTTGCTATTTTCACTTGTTTTGATATACTCTTTAAAAACCCATCCGTAGATGTTCTTACTGATACCATCTCAGATGTAATATATCCGGTTGCTTGGTTCTCCGAAGTACCATTCTTGCAGGGTAAGTGGTATATGAACTTTTTTTTTTAATTAGCTAGTCTTTTTTCTAGAGATTAGTTTAATTTTTTATACGGCATATGGGTGCTGTCAGCACAGGGCAAAGTAGCATTACGTAAATGAAAGTTACTATCAGTAATTTCTTATGCTGAAGTGTACGGTGTGTTGCATACCTATTTACAAACAATTCTTTTAAATTTAATTTTTCAAACAATTTTTAACACAAAGAAAGTGATTAAACAAATTGTTCACAAAAGTGAATTTCGATCACTCGAAGCAATGATGCGAACAGTTTCTAGCTCACAGTGACTGATAGGGGGGAAGAACTAGTTTATATAAGATTTATTTTTAGGCTTTCTATCTTTACTCAAATGCTATGCCACTCAGAATCAGTTATCGGCTATGTAATTTCCCCCAATCAATCTACTATTAAATACCTGACCAACTTTACCACATGTTTTAATGGAACAAACATAATATGCATGTCTNACGGAACTATCACTGAAACTTACATATCGGCAGTTTCTGCTTCTAAAATGATTATACAGGATGTACCGATTTTGCCCAAAAGACAATCTTCCTGTCATGAGGTATTCTACTTATTTGTAATGCATATTATAGTAATTAGTTCTTTTTTCAATTTAGTGAGAGGCATATTTTCTTTTTTTTTATATATATAATGTTCTTATTTGCTGCATTTGTTATTTTAGAATATGTCTACTGTTTCCGGTATTGCTTCTCAACATGCAAGTTACTCAATCGGAGGTTTATCTTTATTTAAGTTAATGGTAGAAGATTTAAGCAATTATACCACTCACAGTTTGAATTTAACTCAAAATTATTCGTCAACTACGATTTGTAGCGAAGGTAGCTCTTTTTGCTGTACGTTTAATGTTACGATTAATTTAGATACAGCAAGTGCCACCAATGTAGTTTACAAGTAAGTTAATTAATACGCCTAAATTTTAATCTTTATTTTTGATGTGTAACATCTAACCACTCGGTATGTGCGTGTATGAGGCCATGAGAATAATTTCTTGAAAGCAACGGAAATGCGTTAGCGGAAGTTAAGGACGGAGGAGTGCGCATGATCATTGCTGCCTGCAGTTGGTGCTTGGTGAAGCAAAAAAAAAGGGAAAAGGAGAAATAAGGCACAACTTTCAACCTTTCAATCTGGTCTGGTGGTGAGAAGTTATTATTTTGCTCATTGCCGGTCTTGGATGTTACACATCATTAACAACTATTAGAATTTACATTTATTAATTTTATTTTTTATTTTTGCTCATTACTTAAACATTTCTTCAATATTAAGATTGGTGGCTTTTAATGGAAACAGAAAATTGGGTACATCGACCAGTGGAAATCAAATTTGTGGTGTTGTTGCCTGTCTAACTGATGACATTTTGTCGTGTGGACAAATACGAACTCTAGGGTCAATGATCGGAGTCAAATTTAATTCAATAATTATAACAGGGAATTTTGTAAATGCCCCTGCTGGACATACTTTACCATCCACGTTGACGTTTTCTTTGACTCCGATACAAAACTATCGTTACTGTAGGACAAGTGGTATTAATGAGGCTCAGGTTAATATGAATCTCACGAGTCCGCACGATTCCATTTTTGCATTTGGAATTTTTGGAAGGAGTTTTAAAAGAGATGGAGGCTCCGTTGGAAGAAGTATTGCTACATTTAATACTATATGTACAGTATCGGTCTTTTTCTTAACAGTTCTTACTGTTTTACAACAAAAAATTATCTCATAAGTTAAATTGTGCATAAAAACAGAAATTCCTATTTATTTTCATGCGCTCATCATTTAATATAACAATTGTATGTAAATTTATGAAAATTGCTTTTTTTTTTGGCAAATATCTATTAAGAAGTTTCATTACTTTATTCTTGTGTAATCCCTTCTTTAACAGAAGAATAGTTTCTCATTTTTTTTTGTAAAATATGTATCTATTAATATACTTATCATTTTATTTGTAATTAGAAATTCAACAAGTTATAGATAAATTTATTTATTGATTTTATTTGCGTATACTATTTAATTCAAACGTAAAAATAGATTGTGATAAAAATGTTTGGATGCATTTTCTTTTTGTGGTTTTTATATAGCCACTACAACACGGCTTGCTTTTTCGTGTATCATACAATAAACACAACCTATTATCTATGATTTTGGTGCTTCATAGATTAAAAGTTCTGTTAAGTTAATTCGCAACACACCGACCGACACTACTGAACCACTATAATCAGTTATCTATGAATTAAGAACAAAAAAATCTGAATAACTGAAAATGCTCAAAGGCGCGCTTACAAAAAACAGATTACTTTGTCTAATAATAAAACAATTTATAAGTTCCAATTTGGCCCAATTGTAAGCAAAAACTAAAGGGAAGTAGGTGTACCATAGTGAAATTATAAAATTTGAAAATGTTGCCAGCGTTTTCATCACGTTTTCGACTGTTCAAAAAATATTATTCAAATAGGTACGCTTTCTTCGAAATCTACTCGTGTATATTATTAAACACATGTTATAGGTATGAAAATATTATTATTACTAATTATTTGAATTGCTCTACAAATACTTCAATTGATAAAGACGAAGAGGTGTATTTTAAAAAGCACAGTACAGAATGGTGGAATAAAATGGGTGACATGAAGCCTCTGCATTCAATGAATAAAGTGAGAGTACCGTTTATTAGAAATGGGTTGATAAACACTGGATTAGTACAAAAAGATAATTTTAATAATGCAACCCCTCTGAAGGATTTGTTTATTTTGGATGTAGGATGTGGAGGTAACATTCCCATTCTTATCATATTTCATTTACGTATAGTCAATTTTGCAATAGGAGGCATTTTATCAGAAGCTATGGCCAGATTAGGGGCAAATGTGACTGGTATTGATGACACGAAAGATCTCATTGAAATTGCCACAAGTCATGCAGCATTAAAAAGTGACCTAAATAATTTGCAGTACATCAAAGGAACAATAGCAGATCATGCACAACAATCCAGTAACAAATATGATGCCGTGGTACTGTCTGAAGTAATAGAACATATAAAAGAAAAAGATAAATTTTTAGAGGCATGTGTAAATTGTATTAAACCTGGTGGTTCCATTTTTATAACAACAATTAGTAAAACAAACATCTCTTGGGCAGGTGCTATTGTATTTGCAGAACAATTTAAATTAATTCCTTCTGGAACACATCAGTGGGATAAATTTATTTTAACACATCATTTGCAACGGTTACTTGAGGATTGTAAGTTTTTATTTTTCATAATTCAGTACGGTTTATTGATATTAAAATAATGCTTTTCAGATAACTGTAGAACTTGTCTTATACATGGACTTGCTTACAATCCATTAATGAACTCATGGCACTGGACAAAAAATACAATGATAAATTATGCATTACATGCTGTAAAAGATGTTTAATTGAGTACATTTTGAAGTTTAGTTGATTTATTCCAAGTAAAAACGATGAAATTATTTCAAATAGTTAACTTTGCCGGACACTTGGTGAAATATTAAGAGATATTATAACGCTTATCGAGTTTCACAAAGAAAACTTGTTAATTGATTTGAATATTTTAGCTGTTATGTAATTTTAAGGTACAATTTAAAAAAACAAAAAACGAGGACAAATGCCTGCGGTAACATATAGGCAGGCAAATATATTCCTGTGTACGATAGGTTGCATAGTGAGTGTTCGTGAGTTGTTTCACACGACTGTAGATATACAGATCAGTGCGTCAGTGAAGTCCTATTATCTATGGCTGTGTATTTCAATCAATGATTCCAATTATCTGTGACCTAACCACCCGAAGTGGCCAATGATAATTGTCATCTGCAAGTGCATGTGGTTTTTAGTGCATTAGTTCGTTTATTTTTCGTTTTTCCTCGAAAAATAAACAATGGCAAAGGATTTATGAATGTGGCTTCAGTTGTGTGAGCTGCGCTTGTAAGACACGTTAACCATATATATACGTATGTATTGATAGATTGAAACTAAACTTAAAGTCAATAGTACACATAAAACTAACTAGATTCGTTAATATTGGGTTGTGCTTATATTGTTTTAAGCAATTTTTAGATTTTTGGGCATCTTTGCAATGTGATATAATGAATAAGTTTACAGAAACCAAAACCGAAATGAGTAATCAAGATTTTCGACTTTTTATAAACAACATAACAGGAAATATCAATGAAGATTCATTACATAAAAAATTGTCTCAATTTGGAGATATTTCTTCAATTGAAATAAAACTACGAAAGAATATCATTGGAAATCAAACACCAGCGTTTGCATACATTAATATTAACAGTACTCCTGAAAATATACAAAAGTGTAGGTGGTTAAACATTGTTTATTATTATTATTTTTCTATATATTTTACAGGTTTTGAGGATTTTTCAAGGCAAAAATTTGAAAATTCGTTCATTGACATATCAATTGCAAAAGAAAGTTTTATGGAAAGATTGAAACATGAGAGAGAAAAAAAGCATAATGGCAATGATCAAAAAACGAAAAGTGAAACTGAAACATTACAGAATGAAACTAGCTTAGTGCCTTTTAAAATACCTAAAGCCTGTTCAGTTATTAAATGTATATCTGAGAAAAATAATGTTAATTCTCATTTAAATTTATCAGAACAAAAGAGATTACATTCAGTATTACAAAAGAAAAAGGAATATCACTCCCAAAAACTGCTTCTACAAAATGCTTTGTCTAGGATTGTAAGTGTTCCAGCACTCACACTTTTTTTTTATTGTATTTGCCAATTTATATTTACATTGTACATATTTAACTGTACAAGTAAATAGATCACAGATGATAATAATAATTTTAAGGATTTAAATCCAAGATCAAACGTAATCTTTTATGAAAAAGAAGATTGCATGGCTAGTAATAAAGGAAATGCAAATGAATGGGAGAAAAAACAAAAAGACAAATTTCAACTTTTTACTGAGAATGATGATAATGAAACGAACAGCGAATGGTTTGAAGTTAAGGAGCACTTTGAGGGAATAAAAGGTCAAAAAGTAAATAATAAAAGAAAATAAGTTTTTTACTGAAATAAAAATTTTGTTTTTTTTTTTATTTTAGTTACTGAAACTGCAAAGTAGATATAAAAATGACCCCAGATTTTCAATGGACACTAGGTTCCTTGAAAATGACATTTCTGAGGCAAGGAATTTCGATGAGGAAGAAAGTAAAAAAGATATTTCAGTAATTGAAAATGATGCTGAAAAAGAGAGAATGGTGCAAATGCAAATTTTGGAGCAGGTTTTAAGCAAAGAAATTGCACCATCTACATATGCTAGTAGTTCTGAAGGGTATTAATTCAATTTGAATATTGAGGAAAAATAATGTATTTTTCAATTTGTAGTTCTAGCAAAATATTAAGTGGTATGTTTAGATATGATCCAGACCACAAAGATCATCTCAAATATGAAATCACACCTGTAACAGAAAAATATGGTAGAGATAAGAAAAAAGTTGATATTGAAACAGAGAATTTTACAGAAATTGAATATAAGGAAAAACCACAAGTTTCTAAGGAAAAATTTTATAAAGTCACTGCCAATCTAAAAGAAGCTTTATTTACTGGTCAACAATTCAGTATACTTAACACTTTTGGAGACCATTATGAAAATAGAAAGGATTGTAATATATAATATTAGCTATTGTTTAGGATGTGCAGTAATATTTCAATTTTAGATAATGAACAAAATGCAGCAAGTGTTTCAAAGAAAAAAAATAAAAAGGAAGGAATGATTATTAGTAATCTATTTGCATATGATTCATCAACTGACAGTGAAGATGAAAAAAAAAATGAAAACATTTTTACTGAAGATACAGGTTCATTTAAATCGCAAAAGCTTTGGGCCAAAAGTTTTTTTTTTCAAACTGATGATTACAGATTGCAAGGTGACTTCTATTATTTCATTTTATATTTTCATTTTATTATTTTTATTTGCGTTTTAGATGGACTTCATTTTGTGAAAAGATTGGATGTTAATGACGCAACGGATTTTGTGAAATCAAGACGGAAAATTAAAGAAGCTGTTAAAGCAAAAATGAAGAACAATCAAAAGAAATTTAGTCCATTCAAAAAGAAATTAGGCGAGACGAAACGAGTTAAGATAAAAAGAGCATTAAAGAAGTAGTTTTTAATTTTTGAAATAAAATACCTTTTTTTGTAAAATCAGTTTTTTTATTTATAGGCAATATGTTAACTTTCCTTATTTAATATGCTTAAAATAATGAAATTGTTGTGGAATAGTGTGTATTTTCAGAATTTATTTTACAAAAAATACCAATACATTTCTAAAACTACAGAAGATCGTCATTCATTATAATTACGAATTAATAAATCAAAAACATATATAAACTCAATTACAAATAGGTATGTTTGTCAAAGAGCTTATCAATAAGTCATACTAGTAATTTCTAAATACCAGAGCTATTTTAAACAGCAAATTTTAATTAGAAAGCAAAGCAAATGCCCTTGTAATTTTTCTGAGAAGAAACAGCAAGTTTCTATTGTTTTTAAGTTCAGAATTGCTCAAAATATATTCTAAAAATCACTGTATAATCTTTTGTTTTATAAAAAAAATACTTAATTATGGCAATTAATCTTTTGCTGGTACTTCAATAACTCGTGGTTTATCAATTATACGAGCAGTGCGGTTCCCTTTCTCCACGATTCCGATAATCCAGGCTTGGTATCCTTCTTGTTTCTCAATATCCTTGCAATATGCTGCAGCTTGTTCTCGTGGCAAACAAATTAATAGACCTCCCGAAGTCTCCGCCGAATGTCCTTGCAATAATTGGAACATATTCCCACAAGCTTTTGCTACAGCAGCCATTTTTGCAATTACAGGCAAATTATGAATAACGAAAGACACTTCGTTTTTCTGGTGAGATGCCAGGGTCTGTGCATGTCCCAATAAACCAAAACCAGTTACATCTGTTGCACCATGAGCATTGTATTTGTGCATTAAACGACTTGCCACACGATTTAACCTTGCCATTGAATCCATTGCTCTGTGATAAGCTTTTCGCACATCTTCTTCGCTTACAACTAACTTGATACGATTCCAACGTTCTGGCTGATCTAACCATTGGTGAGCATTAACTGCAACCTATAGAAAAATTGATTTCTTCTTTAATCCTTTTAAATATAACAGACAAATGAAATAAATAAAGAATACAATTATTTAAATGCTACTGAAAACAACCTCCAAAAATATACACATTAATAAAATAGCATAGATGTTTACTGCATTATATTGATATAGATCTCTCACCTGTGTTCCCAATGGCTTTGTCAAGACGAGAACATCGCCAACAACAGCATTATCTGGTACAATATACTCATTGGGCTGACAAACCGTTGAAGCAACACCACCAATAGTACACCAAGGATTAACAACTGTCTGTCCTCCTGTAACTGTTGTACCAGCTTCCAAGGCAGCATCTTTAAAGCCTCTCATAATTAGTGGAATAACCACATCCCTTTCTTTTTCCGTCATTTTTGTGCTTACTCCAAGCAGCATGAGCATATTATCACACTCTGTAACTCCCATTGCGTATAAGTCACTCAAAACATTGGCACAAGCAATTTTGCCCATCATATAAGGGTCATCCACCAATGGGTAAAAAAAATCAGTAGTTTGCACCAAACATAAACCTCCATGCCGAAGAGGTGTTACCGAGCAATCAAGTCCAATGCCGATTCTTGGAATTGCCATATGAATGAAATGTGCATGTTCTTGATCTGCAGCATTTTGATAATCTTGTTGGAGACCTTCTACCAGTTTATTGAGAACTTCTTGCGGTACTTTGCAACCTCTACCCTTCAAATCTGCAAATCTTGTGAGTCTAAAACTTGCCTCCAAATCGTGAGCTAGAGGGTCAAAAGGCCGGCGAAGAGCTAAAGCATTTGGATTTGCTCCTAGTTCTAACTGTACACTACCCAAGGCGTCTTGCTGAACGCCAGTAACTTGATGGTAGTCACCCATACTAGATTTACAAAACAGTTATACCAGAATTATGGACGAACTGAATCGGTAAAACCACCAAACTCGACCGTCTACAGGTATATGCCGTCTACTGACGCTTACAAAATGGCGACCGTCCTTCCTGCGGTTCTCAACCCGAAAGTTCGATGAGCATGATAATTTTGAGATACCGTCCGATTGGTTAGAGAAAGACGCAGTATTAACCAGCAGTCGTCAATTTTTTATTCTACACTTTTTGGTTTAGTTTGGTTCAGTTTGGTTTATTTGACGAGACAACCTGAAAATTGTAGTACAATAATACATAACACAATAAATATTAAAACATTTCATACGTACCCTTTTAGTCTAAGGATCATCTTAACTACTTTTTTTATGTTTATTCTAAACATAAACGTTATAGGTGCTTATAAATATAAATACATATTTTGGGCTTGTTTAAGAAAACTATTAAGAACAAAGAATCCTAAAAAAAAGTGCTAGTGCGTTACTTTACAATCTTCACATGGAATCGACTGTATGTTAAGTTAGTGATCCAGAAAATGGATCTACCGTTGTGTGGTCCGGATTGTATATTGTAATATGTTAAGAGAATTTATATTTTAGAAGTCTCTTATGTATCTCTGTATATCTATTATCTATGCTCTTATTAATTATCTATAACATAAACATCTATGTGTATTAATGAGAATCTATGATATGATTCATGATTAGTGACGGATTAATGAGTCCTCGAGTCCCTGATAAGTAGCAGATATAAAATTAAAGTTATCCCTTGTTTATGCCTTGTTTTATGATATAGTGTTCATTAAAAGTGTTACAGGTAGTTTGAAATCTTCTTATCTTGTAGTCTGTGAATGTTCGCAATCGTTTATTATTTGCTATTTAAATATGTTACAAGAAGATTCTAATGGAGATGCTTCCTTTGAAATTATAGAAAAAAATGTTACTGAAAAAGCAGGTAATTATTTATTAAAGAAACAAATTCGTATAAATATGATATAATTCCAGCTCCGGTTGTAAACAACAGTGCATCTAGTGGAAATTTATTATCTAACGTACCACCTCCGTTGGTCCTCCCCAGTTTTTTTCAAACACCTATATTACCATCAATTACAACTTCTGCCGCAAGTCAAGTTCAAGTTGCTATTGCATCTTCAGCAACATCACTCACACAAACAAATACAAAGCAACCAACAGTTTTATTAGTCGATAATTCCCCTAAGGTTTCTAATAACAGATTCTGTCCAACAGAATTTAGGCAAGTGAATTTGTATTTTGTTGTTAATAGGAGTATAAAAATGCTCTTAAGTTGGTGACTATTACTAAATAACGTTTTTAGTGCAGCAATTCCTCCAACCAAAGGGATTCAACATGGTATTCCTGAATCATCAACATATAGTTCTATTACAACTGATTCTGTCACAGAATCCAATTCTAACACTTTAGATACATTTTCAAAGGAAGAAGAATCTGTAGGAATATTGGGATGGGTAAAAGGGGCTGTATCGAATGGTGGCATATTTTATAAAGTAGCAGAGAAAGCTAAAAGCTCAGTTGATTCTGTGATAACTACATTAGATCCACAAATGAGAGAATATATTTGTATGTAAATTTTTAAATTGAATTTACTTTGTTAATCTCTTTAGCAAATTGAAGAAAATAATAGTGTTATTCATTTCAGATTCAGGAGGTGATCTGGACATTTTAGTAGCTTCTACACAAGAAGATAAAATTAGTGCTGTTCGAGAAGCATTTCAGTCAGTTTTTGGAAAAGCCACTGTAGAGTAAGTATATATTGAATAGGTTTTAAGGTTGTTGCTCAAAATTATAACTTGAATTTTGCAGAGGAGTATCAGTTAAAGTTACAAATGTAGCAGTACAACCTATAGGATTTGAAGAAGGTCTTAAAGGGGCAGATGAGAGGATTCAGTATGTATACAAAGATCCTAAAATACAGCCTGTACCTGTGGTTGCAGTTGAAGGTTTTATTGTTAAATTTGAAGATGACAGGTAAATTTATTTAAAAAAAAAGCAATAACACTTAAAAACATTACATATTAATTACATAATTGGTATGTTACAGGTGGTATGAATTAGCAGTTGTTTTATTAAAAGATCCTATAAGGCAATTGTCTTTACATACTTACACACAAATGACTCCTATTCCTTCAGAAATTGTGGCTTTAGCACAAGAAAGTACTCCACAAGACTATCCCTTAAGAGAAACTGGATTGTCAGTAACTATTGGCAGTATTATGGCTGAAAATTTGGGTGTAAGTGTAAAATTTTGCTTTAAAATGAATCATATCAAATCACGATTTCAGGTAAATCACAATAAGTGGCATCACGCATTAACTGGCGTTCATAGACGAGAAATGATATTATTGGCTGGGAAGGCTATTGCTAATTTGTACAGGAACTGCAGGCAGGTTTGAAAATTAACAGTAATACATTTGACTTATTGTATAACAAAGTAACACGAAAAAAATTATTTAGGGTTTATTTGCAACTGCTGCATATCTTTAATTGAAATTAAAAATAAATATACAATAATAATGTTCAATTCACATATTTATAGCATGGTCAATTTGGAGTTATTGGGTTCAAAAGCAATTAACTTTAATTAACACTGTATATAACAGTAAGTTTACATATAAAGCAGTTGTTGACTTATTTATTGTTTAAAAGAAAATTCGTTAGTGATAATATGATATGGGAAGGGTAAATAGGCCTGCTGGCATTTCTACGTTAGATGAAGCTTCATGGTAACTAATTGTATTTCCTGTAATATTGTGGTCCTTCCAAAATGTCAACATTAAGGTAGACATATTGTGACTCCAGGCCTAAATAACAATAAGTATGTAAATATAAACAAAGGGCACAAATATAAAACACATTTATGTATATACTAGTTCAGAGTGTTCTATCCAAAGACGTTCGAGATTGTTCTTGTAATTTTTAGCTAATTTTTTTGCTATTTTTAGTATTTTCACACTTTTGTCTTCTTTATTCCTTATCAAACTGAAGTAGGCCTTCAAATGATAAAACCTTTAAGAATGACGTATTAAAAACAAAACAAAACGTATAATTCAGAGATTACCATACCTTGGCAGCACTAATTTAAAATTTTTGGTCGTGCATTTGATGCAGGCGATTAATTTTTTTACTTCTTTGTATGCTTTAGCGGTAGCAGTAACATTTCTACAATCCATTTTGCCCACTATGTATATTAATAGGCCCTCCAAGAGATATAGTGATGAAATCATGCTGATTATTGAATCATTCTTTTCTATCATAATAAGTTTATGAATCTTTATGTACCAGATACTTGCAGAATTCCAACGGTCATTCCTTAGGCACCTGTTAAAAAAATATCAGTGTTTGGATTTTCTGAAGAAAAAAAAGTAATTTACCAAAGCCATGCGGCAATATAAAAGCATTTTTCTGCTTCTGGATCTCTGACAGTTAACAGGGTTTCTCCACCAATGTCATAAAACGTTTTACATTGCTCATATGTTACGTAGGTGTAGCCTGTCTCAAGGTTAAATATTAAACTAAGAGTAAAATACCAAACCATTCCTAAAAATATATAGAAAAAGAATGTGAAATGAATTACTAATTGTAAGCTTACCTGTACTGTCGGTGTCTTCTGTTGCATAATAATGTAAATCATTTAACAAAGTGGTAACATCAATTAACCTTTGTGTAGCAAGTAGACAAAATACCATGGTCGGAAGTATTTTCAAAATAACGAAAGTTGCATGAACATTCACCCCGAGTCTGTTTATTATATAGCCCATATGCAAAGCTTCGTCAATGTCTGATCTCATTATCCTTATAACAACGTGAAATTGATGTCGAAATAGGTATATTTTTTTATTTTTATTATTTTTTTTGTTTACTAAAGTTTATATAAATATGATATAATTCCAGCTCCGGTTGTAAACAACAGTGCATCTAGTGGAAATTTATTATCTAACGTACCACCTCCGTTGGTCCTCCCCAGTTTTTTTCAAACACCTATATTACCATCAATTACAACTTCTGCCGCAAGTCAAGTTCAAGTTGCTATTGCATCTTCAGCAACATCACTCACACAAACAAATACAAAGCAACCAACAGTTTTATTAGTCNTTATTACTATCAAAAATATCAGATTAAATAGTTTTCATGAACGGTAAATTAGTTAGTTGCTTTGTAAAGATAAGTTACATAATAGTAGGCTAAAATCTTGGGAACCACATGGATTAGTATATCCATTCTTCTGATTGCCCAACACTATTACAATTAATTTTATCTCGAGTTCCCGGGTGAGTATTATGTGGTTCCCAAGATTTTAGCCTACTATTATGTAACTATGCTCAGACTAGAGCAAAAAAATGCTGGAACTACTAGCAACTAACGTGTAATCATGATTAAACCTAGTCATCTCTGTACCTAACTTAAATGATATTATTCACAGAAAACGATGTTGAACTTATTTAATCCTATTGGAATCAAACAAGGTGTTAGGGGATCAAATAACAGAACCATAAATTAATAATGACCGTACTAAACTATTGTAGAGTACAACTAACGTATTAACATTTCTAAATTCCTTGGAACTTGTAAATAAATATAAGTTTTTCATAGAATTATTTACATACAAAATATAAAAACGCATTACCTAGGCATTAAAAAATACATAAATTAGTCATCTCAATAATTAACATAAACAATCCCCTAAATAAAGTGTAATGAAAGGAAATAAAGAGAAACCTGTAAAGAAAAAAGCTAACCTGGCACAAAATATTGACGCATAGAGTTTGCAAACCGCTTTTAATTCTCTAATTTCCATCGTGATACCCTTCTTTCTATGACATAAACGCAAGGCGTGAACTTCTAAAATTTTTATAATCTTTACTTTACCAATACGACAGTACACTTCAATCACATTCGCAAACGCAACGCATATTTTATAGAAGTCGGTGTTTGCAGAAAGAGCTTTGTTCAAGCTCCATGTAGTAGCCAGTTCCGCGTGATTCCAAAGATTCAAATTCTAAAAGCAGAAGAGAGTAAAATTAAGATCATTACAGAAATGGAAACTTGTTACCATGTACACCTCACAGATTAAAGATAGACATTCAGAAAATTTATTACAAAATTCTGCATCATACCCTTGCGCGGACCCAAAGAGAAACGTGGGACTAAAGTATAAACCAAAGTTTTGTTTCATTTTTAATGTAAACATCTTTCTACCTCTTGCAAGTTTGCTTCGAGGAAATTGGTACCCTGAAATAATAGGAAAAACTTCATAAAATCCGGAATAAAGTTTTTTCGTAATAGAGTGAATTAGAAAATCAGCTTTTACCGTTTTTAAAGAAATATTACGTTAGTGCTATAAAAACACGTTTTTCCTTTGCCACATTACCAAGTTTATCTAAATTTTACCTTTTAACGAATCAATATATATAACGAGCTTTTTATAATATACAAAATATAGAGTATACCGTAACAGCAAAGAGCCTCATTTAAATTTTCATAAGCTTCATTGATTTGCCCCGAGTCTAAATGGGCAGCGCCTGTAAGAGTTTTAATTTGTCCATATATGATAGGGACATGCCAGTTATTTTTTTCATTGTTATCTTCCAATTGTACTCTTTCCTAAAATTATTCCTAATGAGTTTTGTTTTTTCTTCAAAGGAATGCTTCAATTATGATCATTTTAAAATTTCACCGTTATAAACATTTCCGCGTCTTTCAATGTTTTAAGAGCTTGAGGCAAATTTTGAAGTTCCACGCACAAATTTGCATATTCCAAGAGGGCCTGTATCAATTTTTCGTATTCACCTAAATCAGTACTTGTGTATATGCATTTAAAAAAACCGTTTTAATTTCGACGAACACTCACCAGCTTCTCTACAGTGCTCTAATATTTGAATGTACATGTTGTCTAAAATATGACTACACTGGCAACTACTAAAGTCTGTGAACGAAAATGTTCTAGTTAAGGAAAACCTTTTACTTAGTTTTTTTACAAGGTTGACTCCAAAATTGCTTTCTATCAAAAAATCATCTGAAATTACAAAAAAGCGCTAATTATGCTTTACAGGGAATAAAATAAGTTTCTCTTTTTTTACTGCTTCCTGAACTTCCATCGAAAAGTCTTTGTAAATTTCTTGATTCTATAGAATTAACAAGTGAGGAATGTTTTGAGCTTTGTCTTCTAGGTTGAGTTCGATAAACATTGGTCTTTTTGTGATCATTCTTTCGAAATGCAATTAAATCCTACAAAATTGTTTTATTTTTTTATATACATATAAAATAAGTAAATAAGAAATTTAATCACTACGTTGAAATGCTTACACTTTCTATCCGTGTCCCGAGAATATTATAGAAAAATCCTCGTCCGCATGAAATGCACCATCTTGTCTGTTTTT